GGATCATGACCTGAGCCGAAGGCAGTCGCTTAACCAACTGAGCCACCCAGGCGCCCCCTGTTTGCAAACCTTTCTAATGTCTGGCTTATTAGAAGCAGCTGGATTCCATACCTGTTTTTGCATTCGGTTGGGGCAGTGTGGCAAGTTACATAGCCTTTGGAAGTTGCAGTGTGCCCCCGTGGTGGCAGGAGAGTGGAAAAAAAGCAGAGAAGGTGTTCGTATTATGTGAGGACAAAGTGTCCGTGCACAACCAAGAAAGTTTTGAAAAGAAAGAATAAGAAGGAGGAATCCAGCCCGCTGGAGGGTGCTACTAAAGCATCAGTGTTGGGAACAGTGGTTCCTGAACCACATGTGACAGCCGGGCTTACTGGACTTAAAGCATTTCTGGTAACATAATGGAAAGTCTAGACTGTGCTGGAACATGCTAGAACATGTGCTGTTTATATTTAAGTTAATGAGGATTAACTAAAATTTACAACTCACTTTCCCAGTTTTACTAGCCGCGTTTCATGGGTTCTGTAGCCACCTGTGGCTCGTGGTTACTGTCTGGGATAAGAGATCTAGAACATTCCCATCCCCATCATTGCAGAAAGTTCCGCTGAGCAGCACTGGCCTAGAAACAGGCCCAAGTATATCCAAGGCTTTGCAGGTGGCATTTCAACCCGAGGAGAGGGACGAAAAGAGTGTTGGCTTAGTTGCTATGAATTTGGAAAATGTGGAGTAGATCCCTACTGTAACCTTCCAGTAAAATGAGGTTTAGGTTAAAAATATACATGTAGAGGGGCACCTGGGTGGCTCAGTTGGTTGGGCCTTCAGCTCAGGTCATGATCCCAGGGTCCTGGGATCGAGCCCCACATCGGGCTCCCGGCTCGGCGGGAGCCTGCTTCTCCCTCTCCCACTCCCCCTGCTTGTGTTTCCTCTCTCGCTGTGTCTCTCTCTGTCAAATAAATAAAAATCTTAAAAAAAAAAAAATGTATACGTAGAAAAGTGAAGCTTTAGAGGGGCTAGGTGAGCATTTTTATGAGTACTGAATGAATGAATGAGGATGGGCAGTGTAAGCAAGACACGAAAGGAGAGCCCATTGGCTTACAAATGAGAAAACCTTATAAATAAGATTGATAAATAACTCCGGGAAAAATCCGTACCTCATCACCAATATAGAAAGAGTCTTTTCAAACTAGTAAGATACAACTAGAGCCAGTGACAAACTTACCTTTTTTTTTAAGTAATAAAAAATACAGGCACCTGGCTGGCTCATTGGGAAGAGCACGCAACTCTTGATCTCGGGGTCATGGGTTCGAGCTCCACGTTGGGCATAGAGATTACTTAAAAAAAAAAAAAAGAATGAATGAATAAACTTTAAAGTAAATACATAAGTAAATAAAACATGAGATTTACTTTCCATCCATCTGATTGGCCAAGACTAAATGGTTATTACCCAGGGCCGGCAAAGGTGTAGGAAGAGGGACGGTGTTGGGCGCCCTGCTGGTGTGTGAATGACTGAAACCCACGTGTATCGAATGCCTTACCTGTGTGGAGTTTTCTGCCCCGAACTCCACTTTCTGAGATTTATCTAAGGAATTGGTAGGGCAGTGAGGATGGGCAGAGAGACATTGTTTATGAAGGAGGGTGTTCAAAACGATTTAAATGCCCTTCAGTGGAGAGCAGGTGGTCCCTCTGTCTGGCGCAAGCTGGGCAGCTGGTAAGGGAAGCGCAGGCACTCGGAGGCTGATGACACGTGGAGGGTCTGTGACATGTTCTTACCTTGGAAGAGCAGGTGACAAGGTGGCATGCGTCCTCTGATCCCATTTTTGTTAAAAAGAAAGTATATGTACTTATTAGAAAGCGAAGCCTAAAAGACATACAAAAAATCCTAACACTTGTTATCTCTGAAGACTATCGGGATTTTTCTTTACTTCCATATTTTAGCATTTTTTACACAGAGCTTGTCCAGCCTGAGCCCTGGCCCTGTCCTCACTTGATCAGGGCAGGAGGGGCCCACTGCCCCCCTGAGAAATGGGAGAAACGAGGGGCGCCTGGGCAGCTCAGTCGATGAAGTGTCTGACTCTTGATTTCAGCTCTGGTCTTGATCTCGGGGTTGCGAGTTCAAGCCCTGCATTGGGCTTCACGCTGGGCATGGAGCCTACTTCAAAAAAGAAAAGAAAAGAAATGGAAGAAACAATCAACATCCTCCTCCCTGGGACCTGCAGAGACTCATGCCTCCTGCCTGCAGCCCATTTCCTGGAGGGGAATACTGAGAAACCAGACCTTCAGGGTCCTTGTGAGAATAAGTGCACCTTGAGCTGGGTCAGTCCCTCCTGTCAGCAAGACCCCCTCCACGCAGTGGTTACTCAGGAAATATTAATTGCTGTGGCTTCGAATCATCCGTCCTTTCCTGCTCAGTCCCTGCTGTGAATAGCCCCCCAGTAACCTCTTTCGCTGAGCATGTCGAGGTGCCATTGGTCCTGTGGGAGCAGAGAAAATGCATCCCCACCTCTCCCAGGTCTGCCTCCCTGGGGAGGGCCATGCTGCCCCAGCTCAGGGGCTCAGTAGTGGTTTGTGAGTAGGTGATCCCTTCTGGTTGACAGAGCCCTTTGGCCCCCAGTTTATAACAGTCCCATGAAGTCAGTCACGCCGCCCACTGGCTCGAGGAGCCCCTTCTATCTGGGAGTGACCTGGAGACTCGTGAGGCAGAGAGGCCTGTGGTCAGAGGGGTCATGTGAGGAGCAGGTCGCTGATGCCCCTGGGGAGTCTAGGAAGGCTTCCTGGAGGACGTGACACCAAGCTGAAGGACTGGCCACATGGAGCCAACTGGATGAAGCCAGTGGGAGCAGAGAGTGGGGAGCTGTAGGCCACAGCGTAGGTGAGACTGTGGAAGGAGCAGGTGTGATTTGGGGACTAGTTGTCTGCATTTCCCAATTTAAGGATGTGCAACCCAAGATACCAGAACGTAAGGAGGCTTATCTGAGGGATGGCGCACCTGTCACCAGAACCAACTGCTATTTTAAGTGGGACAGGCACTGCGCAGGTTTTGGCCTGTTTGCTTCGGTCTTTCCTTGTTCTGTAGTTGACTGCACCTGTGGTCAGCTGTTCGCTTCCTCCACCCCATTATGTGGGGGCACGTGTCCCCACAGCGGTAGAAACCATCTGCAAACGCCATTTGTAATGAACGTCATCCGCAGCTTCGAGCCGCGCCTCGGGCGAGATGGGCAGAACGGGGCGCACGTTTCTGGGAGTCTGGGTCAGCTCCGCCGGGCTGCTGTCCTGCAAGCTTTGCCAAGTGTGTGGCCCACGGTGGGCGGGATGATGAGCCATTTGGGCGACGAGTGTCTCCAAGGGCAGTCCCTCCTGACCTCCGGGCCCTGCGTTTCCGTCCCCCCCCCAGACTGAGAAGGACATCCTGCTGCGGCCCGAGCTGGAGGAACTGAGGAACGAACATTCTGCTCGCTTCAAGCTCTGGTACACTGTGGACAAGGCCCCTGAAGGTGAGACAGAAGCGCTGGGTGGGCTGGGCTGGGTGAGGGTGCTGGGCCTTCGACTCGCTTGGTCTCCGATGGTGCTCAGGGTGGTTCTGGGAGAGGGAGGTGGTGTGACCCCACCTCACAGATGAAGGAGGGGTCAGAGAGGGGAACCCCCAGCTAGAAAACAGCAGAGCCGAGGCTTGAACTCCCATCCTCCTCCAGAGTCCAAGGCCTTCTGCCCTTGCTGGACAAAGCAAGCTGGCCTTCTGCCCTTGGTGGGGGGGCTCACTCTGGGGCAGGTCAGCAGGGTCACTGTGGGGGGGTGGGGGCAACTGCGCCCCCTGTGCGGTTTGTACCCTGTAAGGCATGTTACACCGTTTTCTCCCTGGGCCTTGGGGGCTGGGCTGACCTACAGTGACCCTCCTTCTGCCCATGCCAAGGTCACGTAGGAGCGGCAAGTGAGGGCTGCCTGCAAAGCCTGAAACAAGGCTGCCCTCTGGGAGTTGAATTCTGCTTCATTCTCCTGCTGTAGGTAGAGATGTGGGTACAAGAAATATCTCAATTTCTTCTTTGCTGTGAGAAGAGCAGTAGCTCAGGCTTCTTGGTCTGCGACACTGACGACGTTTGGCCGAGTG